GGATGTCCACGCCAAAACTAAACACAAGGGAAAGAAGGTAAAATTCACCGTTGCAGTTGATGCTAAGCAAGCTAAACTTTGTTTTGCTACTGCTGGCGAGACAGTGGCCATTACGCCCAAAACAAAGAAAAGCGATGGCGATACAGATAGAGTGGACAATGAGGCCGAGGGAAGTGAAAATGATTGTCAAACTACTTTAAAATGTGTCAATGAAACCGTTTCAAGCGTAATGTGTAAGCTACAACGCAGGTACAGATGTGCAGTGATGGAAAGAAAACCATTAACTTTCTTTAAAGTCCTTAAAACCCCTTGTTGTCGTTGATTCTCGTTGCTACGAGAAAATCCGAAATGATTATTACTTTTACATTCATTATTTCTTACTTTAGATGATTCCCAAAGCTTTGACGACAATTTCGACACTATACGCGTGCATGCACCAGACCTAAAAGACTGTAATTCGGAGAAATCGTGCCTGCAGATGAAAGGACCACAGCAGCCGCTACTGAAGAGTTACGACCCCAAGAAAATGGGAAACGAATCGTTTACTAGAGATTTCAATCCTGAATGGTATAAGCGACATCCCTGGCTCTCATACGACGTCAGTAGTAAGAAAGCGAACTGCTTTCCTTGCCAGATGTACATGAAGGGAAAAGATTCCTTTTCATTTGACAACTGGAAAAAGCCGGAACGGTTAGCAAAACATCATAAGAGCGAGAAGCATCAAACGGCCATGGAAATGTGTATGTCCAGTAGAACAAACAAGAAGCATAATTCCTCAGTACTAAGCCTACTACACGAAGATCATAAGCAGTCCGTGAAAGAAAATAGGGACTACCTTAGAGTACTCATTGAGAGTCTTATGTACACAGCGCAACAAAACGTTGCACAACGTGGACACGAAGAAGAGCGAGTTAACCTAGATAAAAGCAGCGATGTTAACCGTGGAAACTTTTTAGAACATATTAGTTTGAGGTGTAAGGACATACCTTGGCTTGGTTCTAAACTAGATCAACAGCTTAAAAAACATGCGCAGTGGACATCGCCCGCCATACAAAATGAATTACTCGAAATTACTGCTGATCTTGTGAAAGAGCGCATTGTCAACGACGTTAAATCTAGTGGATGGTATAGTATCATTATAGATGAAACGTCGGACATCAGCAAAATTGAGCAAGTTTCACTCTGTCTGAGTTATTGCATAAATGGAATAAAGAAGGAAGCATTCATGGGATTCTATGCGACCAAGTCAACTGAAGGCGAGGTTTTATATGAACTTGTGAAAGACACTATTACCAAACTAAACTTAGATTTGAAGAATATAGTTGGTAAAGCATTTGACGGTGCTGCAAATATGAATGGTATTCATAAAGGACTCTCGACTAGAATGAAAGAATGCTCCCCTCAGAGCATATACGTCCATTGTTACGGACATCTTCTCAACCTAGCCCTTCAGGATACCATGACAGAAGTGGAGCCATTGCATAATGCCTTGGGCAACATCCAGGCCATCCACAATTTCATTGAAGGAAGCCCTAAGCGTCACGCGTTATTTAGTGACATTGAAGTTGAAGACGAAAAGTACAAACAAACACTAAAGTCATCAAGTGTTACGCGATGGTCCTGTCACTGGGAAGCGGTAAAAGCTGTCTATAACCAAATGGAGAGAATTGTTAAAATGCTTCTCAAATTGTCTTCAGATAAAGATCCTAAGACTTACAGGGACAGCAGATCATTATTAACATCTTTGTGCGACATGAATTTCATATTTGGTTTATGTGTGCTCAGAATAATTCTAAGAAATACAAATAGTTTGAGTCAGTATCTTCAAGGAAAAGAAGTTGATGTTCTGTCAGCGCGAAGAATATCCAGCACGACCATAGAGACACTACGTTGTTGCAGAAGTGAGCAAAATTTTGACCTTGTTTGGCAAATGGCATCATTAATGGGTCTAAAGATGAAGTCTTGGTTGGGAAATTCGTTGTTTAAGGTACGAGAGGCAACAGTACCACGCCATAAGACATCGCGACGCCTACAGGCCCTTGTGGGTGAATCACCCGGAGATCGCATTCAGGTGACACCAGAATCTCATCAAAGAATCAACACATATTACCTGTCTATCGACAAAATAGTTTCCGAGCTTGAAGTGCGATTCAGCGGAAATGATCAGCAAATACTTTACGCCCTTGGTGATGTCTGCCAAAGTGAAACCCCCAAAATGGAGAGCTTCACCACAGTTGCTGAATTTTATGGTATGGATGAAGAGATTCTACAGGTAGAACAGAAAATGTTCATCACGTTTTGTCTTAAGCGTGGATTACCCGAAGGAAAGAAACTTTCAAAAGTTCTTGGATTCATGCAAGAGAACCACTTATTTGAAATGCTTCCACAGTTTACTCAAGTAATGATAATACTTGCAGTCATACCAGCCACATCATGTTCCGCAGAACGTTCATTCAGTGCCCTTCGCCGATTGAAAACATACCTCCGCAATACGATGAGTCAAACGCGGGTGAACAGCATCGTACTGATTAACATAGAGAGGGCCTATGCAAACGCTGTGATGAGTAATGAGATTGACCGCATTATTGACATATTTGGCAGCAGAAAGGGAAGAAACAGCTACTTTTTTTGAAGTATTCATCGTTCGCGACATTCGTTGATCGTGAGCGAGCGCAATATATATTTTAGAACAGTAGAATTGTCTATTTAATTAGTTGTATAAATATATTGACATTTTTTGGGCAATGTGGAATTTTTTGGGCAAAAAAGCTACCGCCCGCCCCCCAGAATTTAGCGGCCCCGTATGCCTATGGTCTGGCACATTAATGGAATAAATATTTAATAAAATAACAAAGTACTAAAAGTAGGGCACATTGCTTTTAAATATGCAAACACAGCAGCTTTTGCAGTTAATTATTAACCTTTCAATGACCAACACTCATCTTGATGAGTAAAATCATCTGATAATTAACTATCAAAGTACTGATTGTGTTAACAACAAACAATGCAAAATAGTCTGGTGTTAGACAGGCCAAAAAATTGAGCTTTTAAATATAGCAGATTAGCATAAAAAAAATATGGAGAATTTTCCTGGCATTACACTAAGGCTAACATATTTTAATTCATATTGACTGGTGCAATTACACCTCTCCCAATGAAATATCAATTTTAATTTGAAGAATAACATATGAATAAATATCAGAATCTTAGGACGGTTGCTGCTGATTTGAGCAAGTAGATAAATTTTCAAACTATATGTAATATGAGCATATAGTACTATATACAGTAGTCTATATGTATAGGCATGCTTAATGTCTGCAATTAATCTTGCATATACAGTTTATAATATACAAATATATTAACCAATAAACATTGATAAGTCTAATTCAAATATAAAACTCTTATAGTAGCATTTATTGAAGTATAAATGACAGATAAATATATTTATATCAGCATTCTAATCCATTATTGTCGCGGCAAATTCAAATTTTAAACCGATCGAAACACATGCTCGAATTTCACGAATGAAGATTGGACTAGGTATTCCTTTATACTTTGCTTTATTATAAACAAAATATATACATATGCTCACCTGAACATTATACAAACATCGCTAATCTCATCAAAAATAGTTCTATTTTGAACATATAAAGCATTCACAAACAAAAAAAATTATATAAAATTATATTAAATAAAATATCGGAGGTGTGATGACCTATCCCAAGATGCTTTGTGCGTGTGGCAAAAAACTAGACACCAGTCTGTTGGTCGCGCACATTGCGGTAATTATTCATTTACTTAGTAATGTTAGAATAAATTTATTTTCCAATCCTATAGGAATTCCTATAGGAATTTTTATTTCCTATATGTATATATATAGGAATTTCGTTTTCCTAAAGGAATTTTTTCACTATTTTCAAATCCTATATGAATTCTTATAGGAATTTTCAAATCCTATAGGAATTTCATTTCTTATAGGAATTCCAATAGGAAATTTTCGTACGCGTTGGCATAGCAATCATATGTATGGATTCTCTATGGGAGGCCAGAACCACACCAAGTTCAGACTACCATATAATTCCCATAGGTATGGGAAGTATATGGGACAACCAAGTGTGGACTACCATATAATTCCCATAGAATTGGTTATATGTAAAAGCATGCCATTGATATGGATTACCTATGGACCAAGTAACCCCACAGATTTCCCATAGGATTAATAGCAATGTGTTTGTTTCCATAGCTTTTCCATATCTCAATATTTAACAAATTTAGACACCATACCAATCCCACATGATATCTATACTATCCCATATCATGCCCACATATGGGTCATATATGGCCCAAACTTTGCCACATCTTTCCCATACTTTTGCTTTGGTAAGGGCGCGATAAAAGCAACATTTGTAGATCGAGTAGTAAGTTTCATAAATACATAAAGCAACATGTATTTAATAGGATACATAATTTGTCAAAATAGGTATTTTTAAATTGATTGGGTATACAGGTACTGTATTATTTAGAGAAATACCAACACATGCATGGGTTTGTATGCATGCTCTTCGACTTGTCAAGGCAGATATCCAATGAGAAAACCTGCCAAAACATCCCAACGATTTCCAGCTGTTCAGTTTTTAGTTTAAAACCCAAATTCACAGTACTCTTTCCAAAATATATGCTAATATACGCTTTTATTGATAGCGCATAAACATTGCGCCACAGTGATTGATGCGTATTTTGGCATACATTATGATTTCAACCAATAGGATTTTTGAGTCCGCTCACGGCCCCGAAATACCAAATTTCCTTGATTGTTGCAGGCCTATATTCTATAGGCTACAATGTGCCCTACTTTTAGTACTTTGTTATTCAGAGCCAGCGTTCTCCCCTTGAGAAGTAAAATTGTCTGGATTTAGACAGAGTAAAATAGTCTGGCATTAGACAAAGTAAAATAGTCAGGTGTTAGACAGAGTAAAATAATAAAGTAGGATGCATCATAT